TTGAAACATCAGCTCTTCCTGAGTCTGGAGCCTGCCAGTCCTCACACAGAAACCACTACTCAGCTCTCCTACTCTTCAGCCCTTTGGACTCAGACCACAACTTAATCATTGGCTCTCCTGGGGCCCCACATTGCTGACTCACCCTGCAGGTCTCGGGACCTGCCCACTCCCATAACTGCATGAGCCAATTCCTTACAGCAAATCTCAACCTCTCTGTCTCTCTGCCTCTATATATACCCACACACAAACATACACATCCTATTATTTCTGTCTTTTTGGAGAATCTTGAATAATACGACAGGCCAACAAATGATCAATTCGGACAGTGATAAACTGCCATGAAGGAAGTAAAGCAAGACCGTGGAAAAGAGAGGGGGTGGTACTTCAGCCACAGAAGTCAGGAATGCCTCTCTGAGCAGGTGGCCTTTCAGCTGACAACAGCAGGAGAGCAACAGGCACATAAAAGCTGTGGGGGACTGGCTGGGCAGAGGCCTTGCCCACAGGGCAGGGTCACAGAGAGCTGGAGGAACAGGAAGAATCCCAGAGAGGCTGGAGGGGACCATGGCAGGAGAGTGAGGCAGGATGCAGGGTGTTAGGGCCTCACAGGCCACGGGGAGGAGTCTGGATTTTATTCCCAGTGTGAGGGGAATCCTCTGGAAGCTTTTCTACTTTTTTGGGGGGGGGAGGACCGCACCTCACAGCACGCAGGATCTTCGTTCCCTGACCAGGGATTGAACCCATGCCCCCCGCAGTGGAAGCACGGAGTCTTAACCATCGGACCACCAGGGAAGTCCTGGAAGCTTTTAAGAAGTTGTTAACCCTCTGGCTGCTTTGTGTCCCTAGCTTGCTGTGTGATCTTGAGCAAATGAATGTACCTCTCTGAGCTTCAGTTTCCTGGTGTTGTGACGATCAAATGAGATAACGTAAGAGAATGAGTTAGCGTCCCATGTGGCGCAAAGAAGCGGCTGTGGAAATGTCAGTTTCTTTTGCTGCTTGTTCAACGGGGGCACTGATTGGTAAATGCTGAAACTAGAACTAGCTGGGGAAGTAAAACTGACATGAACTTTCTGGAAACAGGGGCAAAATGTATACCAGAGATGTTTATCACAATGTCGTTTACCCGTGGAGAAACTGGAAACAGCTAAATGCCCGAGAGGAAGACGCTTTGGTGCATTAAAGCTAGAGGCGTGGGGACTTCCCTAGTGGTCCAATGGTAAAGAATCCACCTTGCAATGCAGGAGACACAGGGTCGATCCCTGGTCAGGGAACTAAGATCCCACGTGCCTCAGGGCAACTAAGCCCATGCGCCACAACTACTGAGCTCAGGTGCCTCAACGAGAGAGCCTGCGTGCCACAAACTACAAAGCCCACGCGTTCTGGAACCCCTGTACCACAACTACAGAGCCCACACGCCCTGAAGCCTGCACGCCACAACTAGAGAAGAGAAAACCCGCACGTCACAACTAGAGAGAAGCCCACGCACCACAACTAAGACCCGATGCAGCCAAAAATAAATAAAATTTAAAAATAATAAATACATCTTAAAAAAAAAAAACTTGTAGTCAGACAGACTTGGGTTCAAACTTTGGCTCTTCCGCTGCCTCCCCCGGGCAACTTTTGTCAAATCATCAAATTCTGTCAGCTTCAGTGAACTTGGAAAATGGAGACTGTGAGAATTAAATTAGAGAGCTTGTGCAGCCCATAAACACAGTACCTGGCACCTGTCAGAGACACTGGGGGAAATGCAAGTACCAAGGTTACATTTATTTTTTTTAATTTATTTATTTTTTATTTTATTTATTTTTGGCTGCGTTGGGTCTTCGTTGCTGTGCGCGGGCTTTCTCTAGTTGCAGTGAGGGGGGGCTACTCCTCGTTGTAGTGTGTGGGCTTCTCATTGTAGCGGCTTCTCCTGCTGCGGAGCACGGGCTCAAGGCGCACAGGCCTCAGTAGTTGTGGCATGCGGGCTCAGTAGTTGTGGCTCGTGGGCTCAGTAGCTGTGGCGCATGGGCTTAGTTGTTCTGCAGCACGTCGGATCTTCCCGGACCAGGGCTCAAACCCGTGTCCCCTGCATTGGCAGGTGGATTCTTAACCACTGCGCCACCAGGGAAGCCTGATTTAATTCAATTCTAATTAAAATCCCATGGTTTGTCTATGGAACAAGCAGAGGCAAGACATGCTCTGAGAATAAGATGGAAGGACTCGCCTTCCTAGATACTAACATCAATGCTTATCCTGACTATGATGATTAACGCAGTACGGAATTGACACAGGGATAGACAGACTGACAATGATACAGAATAGGAAGCCCAGAAACAGACCCACAGAGATGGCCCTTGATAGATAACATACAAACAGCATATAAATGGAAGTTTGTAGGGGGCAAAAATGGCATTGCAAATCAGTGTGGAAAGAAAGGATTATTCAATAAAATGTGTTAGGCAATTGATTATCCAAATGGAAAATAAATGAAATGGACTCCTTACCTCACACCATACAAAAAAAAATTATGATGAAGTCAGAACTTAAATGTGAAAGGCAAATTTAAAATCTTTGGAAGATAACATAAAACTGTGCTGTTCGATACAGCTCAATATAAAAAAACCAAACAACTCAATCAAAATATGGGCAGAAGACCTAAATAGAAAATTCTACAAAGAAGATACCCAGATGGCCAACAGGCACATGAAAAGATGTTCAACATTGCTAATCGTTAGAGAAATGCAAATCAAAACCACAGTGAGGTATCACCTCACACCAGTCAGAATGGCCATCATCAAAAAGTTTACAAATAATAAATGCTGGAGAGGATGTGGAGAAAAAGGAACTCTCCTACAGTGTGGGTGGGAATGTAAATTGGTGCAGCCACTATAGAGAACAGTATGCAGGTTCCTTTAAAAAAAAAACACTAAAAATAGAACTACCATATGATCCAGCAATACCCCTCCTGAGGGGTATATCAGGAAAAGACGAGAACTCTAATTCAAAAAGATACTTGTGGGTCTTCCCTGGTGGCGCAATGGTTAAGAATCCGCCTGCCAATGCAGGGGACACGGGTTCAAGCCCTGGTCCGGGAAGATCCCACATGCAGAGCAACTAAGGCCGTGCGCCACAACTAGTGAGCCTGCGCTCTACAGCCCGAGAGCCACAACTACTGAGCCCACACACCGTGACTACTGAAGCCCACACGCCTACAGCCCATGCCCTGCAGCAAGAGAAGCCACTGCAATGAGAAGCCCACTAGAATGGCTATAATCAAAAAGTCAATAAATGTTACCGAGGATGTGGAGAAACTGGAAACTTTAATACACTGCTAGTGGGAAAATAAAGTGGGGCAGATGCTTTGGAAACCAGGCAGTTTTGCAAAAAGTTAAACAGAGTTATCATATGACCAGCATTTCTACTCTTATATGCTCCAGAGAAATGAAAACATGTGTCACACAAAAGCTTGTACACAAGTATTCACAGCAGCATTATCCACAAGAGTCAAAAAGTGGAAACAGCCCAAGTGTCCATTAACTGATGAATGTTAAATAAACAAAATGTGTGTGTGTATATATATATATTCATAAATGCAATATAATTCAGCAATAAAAGAGAATGAAATACTGATTGATGCTGTGACATGAACCTTGAAAACACTATGCTAAGTGAAAGAAGCAGACACACAAAAGGCCACATTGTATGACTCTATTTACATGAAATACCCAGAACAGGCAAATCCACAGAGACAGAAAGTAGATCAATGGCTGGGGCGGGGAGTGAGGGATGGTGAATGACTAGTAATGGAGACAGATTTCTTTGGGGTAATGAGAATGTTCTGGAAGTAGTGGTGATGCACGCTCAACTGTTTGAATATACTAAGAACCACTGAAGTGTACACTTATAAAAGGGTGAATTTTAAGGTATGTGGATTATATCTCAATTTTTCAAAACGAGTAATGTTAATAAAAAAAATACCACAAGCAGGATATCGATATTGGTACAACCTACTAATCTTATTCAGATTCCCTAATTTCTCCGGTACTTTCAGTATCCTGTGTTTCTACAAAGGACTCAGCAATTATCATGAAGAATGTATATTAAAGGGACTTCCCTGGTGGTCCAGTGGGTAAGACTCCACACTCCCGGGGCAGGGGGCCCCGGTTCCAAAATAAATAAATAATAACTAAAAATTTTTTTTAAAAAGGAATGAAGTACTGATACATGCTGTAATATGGATGAACCCTGCAAATATTTTTTTAAAAAAGAATGTATATTACAGTTAAAAAATAATAAAAACCCTACAATTACATATTAGCTTATACAGAAAGCTGGACTCACAACCCACAATTCTCATTAGAAAAATGAGGTATTATAAAAATTGCCCTTGGTATATAGTTCTATAGAATTAATATCATAATATAAAAGGATATTTATCTCAACACACTTTATCTGTACTTCACGGTCTTAACACAACAACGAAAAACTCTGGGGTTCTTTTCTGGCTTTTAACCATGAGGCATACTTATTTCACCTTAATTATGAACACTTTTACACCCTGCTTTTCCCCTTTAACGTCTCATTTCGTTTAAGAAGTTTGGATACTGCCTCCCAAGTCCTCAGAAATATCCCTTTAGAAGGGTGTGGAATGTTTCATCCGATGGATGCACCACAATGCCCTTAATCATCCCCTTACTGCTGGGCATTTAGGGTGTTTCCAATTATCTTGCTGCAAACCGCTGCAGTGAGCAACTTGATTTTCTTCCTTTGGATGATTTCCTCCGGATAAGGAAGGGGTGGGGTTACTGGTTAAAGATTTTGCACATCTTTCTGGCTCTTGACAATTTCACGTTGGCGCAAGACCCCCGCCCCCCCTCCCCCGCGGCCCCCGCGGCCCCCGGGTCACGGGCCCCAGCTTCTGCAAAACAGGACTGCAGAGGCGGGCGCCTGTGCGTCCGGGGTCCCGGCGCGTTGCGGTCCACGCCCCCCGCCCCTTGGGCACCGCCCGCGCCCCGGCTCACCTGGACTCCTCCCCTCGGGCCAGGGGACTCCGTCTCGGTGTCGCGCCAAGTCCTCACCTTGGCCTCGGGGTGTCTTCCCAGGTCCGTGGAGGTAACCCTGGGCGACGTCCGTCTCTCCTTCGCGTCCTTTCCCTACCCCAGCGCCAGGCGGCGCATCCAGTAGGTGCTCGATAAATACCCACAGATTTCAAGAGCAAGTTGACGTTGCCGCGCCGACCTTTGACTCTAGTCAGATCCCTGGAAGTTAGCCAAGTACCAAGCAGTTCGCACCGGGAGCGGAGGTGAGGGGGGTGGGCAGAGTTGAACTGTAGAAGCCTATTCGTGCAACAATTGTCTGAGCACCTACTGTATGTCAACATCATCCACCGCTGGGAATAAAAGACAGTCAAAGCGGTAAAGTAAGAATGTAGTTAGTGTGTCAGACGGCGATTCGAGGTAGGCAGAGAAATCCGGCAGGGGAGGGGCTGAAGTGAGGCGAGGCTGGCGGGCCTCCGGGAGGAGGTGACCAGAACAGGTAGTACCTCGGAGGTGGGCGGCTGCTCGGGCCAGCGTGCTAGGGCCTCGCCTCCGAAAGCACATTTAAACTCCCGCCACAGGCATGAGGCGGGAACGAATGTACCGAGAGGAGGGCGTAAGGCCCCGAATTAAGCCCCGACCCCTCCCGGCAGGGACGGGGTTACGCCTGACTGGGCGAAGCGTCCCGGATGTGCGCGTGCGCGGAGCGCGGAGTGCGCCTGCGCACAGCGCCGGGCGACGTGGCCGGCCGGAAGTGGCCCGTGCGGAACCTCCGGAGGACCACCGTAGTCAGTCGGTCAGTCCTGCGCCAGGTGCTGGTTCGCGCCCCCGCCGGCACCACCATGCTGAAGAAATTTGACAAGAAGGACGAGGAATCGGGTGAGGGGGGCGAGGCCTGCGGGAGGCCGGACCAATGCCCAGGCTCTCGGCGCCCTCCCCGGCGGCCTCTGTCCCGACCCGAGGCCCCGGGAGGGACGGGGGCTTGTGCGAGGGGTTGCCGCCGGTCAGTGGCAAGCCCTGGAGAGCCCGAGCAGGCTCCACTGCCCCGCACTCGTAAGCTCGGACCGCGATTCGCTGGGTGACCTTGGGCGGGTCGCACGTCTCTCTGGGCCTCAGTTTCCCCATCTGTTAGGGGAGGGCGCCGCGCGCGATGCTCTTGTGGGGATTCGCTGGGGCTGCGTCGGTGCTGACCGGACTGGGGAGCACAGTGTCCCGTGGCTGAGAACCCTGACTCTCATGCGTTTACCCAGTAAACATATATTGAGCGCTTACTGCATGCCAGGCTGTACTGTGCCCTGACATTGCAGTAGAACAAGTGAGACGCTCAGTGCTCGAGCCCGGAATATTAGAATGGTCGCGACGTAGTGGAGGAAACAGACGTCAGTCAGATACTGAGGTGTGTAACTAATTACACGTGTGATATCTGCCAAGCACAGACCCTAGTCGCTGGCAGTGGTGGTCCCGCACGTAGTAGGAACTCAGTTAAGTACCAGTTGCATAAATGAATGCAAGACGTGACACTCTGAGAGGCACACAAGGACTGTACCAGGGCTGCTGGGTGACTGTGAGTCAGTGGCTTGGGATGGAGGGAGCTCCTCTTGCAGGAGGATGGCTGGATCTACTGGCAGTTTGTAGAGCTTTGGTTGCCACTCAGAGGAGTTGGAACTTGACTAGGTCGGGCACTGGGACATGTTTCCCTTGGCTACATCTGAGAGAGTTCTGAAATTCAGGGTCACAGCCTGTACTCAGTCCTGCCTGTTCTCTGACTGTAGGTGGAGGCTCCAACCCGTTCCAGCACCTTGAGAAGAGCGCAGTGCTCCAGGAGGCAAGTGTCATTTGCTCCCGTCTCTTCCGTCATGAGTGTTCCTAGTCGGCGTGCGGGCGCGTTCAGAGTGCTGGTTTAAAGGACAACAGGGGGGAGACCTGCTCCTGGAAAGACGGGGGCACTTTGTTCCCGGGGAGGGTTCATTAGGCCTGTCTTTTTCTTTGTCTTCGTTTCTCCTTCTAGTTAATTAATAAGCGTTGCCAGGCTTCCCTGGTGGCGCAGTGGTTGAGAGTCTGCCTGCCGATGCAGGGGACACGGGTTCGTACCCTGGTCCGGGAAGATCCCACATGCCGCGCAGAGCGGCTGGGCCCGTGAGCCATGGCCGCTGAGCCTGCGCGTCCGGAGCCTGTGCTCCGCAACGGGAGAGGCCACAACACTGAGAGGGCCGCGTACCGCAAAATAAATAAATAAATAAAAATAAGCGTTGTCTGACTATCCGTTAGTCACTAAGTCAGCACATCCTCAGCTAATATTTAGGGAAAATTTCAGGAGTTGTTAATAGGTAAAGTAAGAAAAAAGCAAAACAAGACTCTTTCCTTATGAAAATAAGGTTGGGCAAGTGTATTTATTTACGCTGGGCCTTCTCAGACCTCGACGTGCTTGAGGGCAGTCAGGGAAGGGAAATAAGCTCAGCCAGAAGGTAATATCCTTGGCTGCTTCTTCCTAGGCCCGCGTGTTTAACGAAACTCCCATCAATCCTCGGAAATGTGCCCACATCCTCACCAAGATCCTCTACCTCATAAACCAGGTAACAGGGTGAGGCTTGGGGGTGGGGAAGATGGTACTGGGGTGTGTTGGGGGCAGGGGCACAGCCCCTGTGTAGTTGTAGCCAGCGGCCCAGCTCTGGGTCCCCTCAGCGTCCCACTCCGATGTGTCGCCCTTGACGGAGCCTCTGCAGGGTCCGAGGGTCTGGCCTGGGCTGATCCGGCAGGAAGAGCATTCTGGCCCGTCTGTCCCAAGCTGAGACTTCTTTCTTGATTAAAACAGGGAGAGCACCTGGGGACCACAGAAGCAACCGAGGCCTTCTTTGCCATGACCAAACTCTTTCAGTCCAACGATGTAAGTGTCCCCACCCCAGCCCTCCTCCAGAGGGGGCAGCTCTGACAGGGTGGTGGGAGGGCCTCCTGTCAGCAAGGCTGCCTCATGCTGTGCCAGGGGTCAGAGGGCTTTTCACATCTCTTGTGCAGCCCACCCTCCGTCGGATGTGCTACTTGACCATCAAGGAGATGTCCTGCATCGCAGAGGATGTCATCATCGTGACCAGCAGGCGAGTCTTGGTCTCTGAATGATCCACCGACACAGAGCCCATCTTCTCACGAGTACCAGGCGCTCAGACTTCGGCTTATGCGTTGCCTGCACCCTTTTTTTTTTTTTTTTTTTTTTT